CTTTAGAGAAACAAACAAAAAATGTTAAAAAATAAAGTTTGAAAACAAATGTTAAAAAAAAAATAAATAAAAGCTTCATGAATGCTTTCTAAACATATCTAAGAATGGTGCCAAATTAGAATAATTAGAAACAAATTATTAGTTCAGCCCAAACCCAAACATATTTATATTTATTCACATTCTGACAGCAAATTACTGATTGTTTTTGTTAGAAAATGTAAAAAAGCTGAAGCACTGGGTCAGTATTAACTGAATGTTTGCTGAATACTCCTGTCAGTAAAATATCAGTTGTTAAAACCCTTCGCATGCAACCCTAAATGTGTGTTCAAGTTTATTGTTGTAGTGTAACATTAAGGTCAGACTGATGTCTGTGATGTAAATCAACAGTTTAATATAAAATTGCAGTGATGTGAAGAACTCACCTGCTGATGATCACCTGTCTGTCCTGGACAGGACCAGTAGGGGTCTCTGCAGAGTGAGCAGGAGTTCTACTGCATGAGAGGCCTTTCTACACATAAACACTGATTGGCAGTTGTATTTTTTTTTTTGAAAAGGTTGATTCTTTTCTTTCATTTTTCTTTCACTTTTGACTTTAACTACTTTCACATTAATTTTACCAGCCAAAAGGCATAGGGGTTAATATTTGGGTGGGAAGGGCCAAATCATAGAATCAAGGGGTAAATTTTAGGGTCAAATGCCTGGGGAGGGCTAAATAATTCCAAAACTGACCTCTAAATGAGCTAATAATATAAAGAAACGCCGAAGCAATGATCATCCAATCAGATGTGGTTGTTAAGTAACGCCCCCTTTGTGTTTGTCCAATCAGGTGTGTCTGTTGTRAACCGCCTTCCACTGGAAACGCGTACTCCCTCTCGACATTTTGGTGCCCTCGGCAAGATTTCAGGTGGCGCTCCCTTTGTGCCAATTTTCTAAATCTCTCTTCCGGTTCGTAATTCATTTGAAACAGAACACCAGAAGTCTTCCTCATACCTGCCAACACCTGCTGACATCATGAGGAACASCTGTTCATGTTAACAAGCAGCTGTGGAGTGAAGCAGTTCTAAGGGGGTCCAGAAAAACAAATTAAACTCAAAACTCCGCATTTTCCAGCTATGGGACATTTTATTAAATTCTTGGGATTAATAAAAGAACAAAAAAAAATCAGTATATTTTATGAAGGTAGAACACTAAAAAAACAGACTTTAAGCTGAACTTTATCTGAGATCATAAGTGAAACTTCATTATCCTTATTTTTTATTTACACACTGAGCATCAGTTAGTCTAGACTGCATTAGGATACTTTTATCATGAAATATCCAAAATAAGTTCTTAAACTTGGGTAACTATTCCACAGACTAAATAAATACTTTGTTAAAAATTTTAAAGTATATTTTTTAGTCCCCCATTTGTAGCGCCCCTGGATAACTTTATGTTTGAAGAAAAAGGTTTTCTGCAAGAAACTTTGCTGTTTTTGAAAACACGATAACCTTACCACAGTGAGTAAATCTGTGTATTTTATTAAAACTGATTTCTCTCCTGCTCTGAATATCCTGTCACTCTAACATTATAGACAACTTATGAACATTTTACGACTAAATGGCTCATTGGTTATATATTGCATTTATTTCATTTTTCAACACTTTTTTAAAAGTTGGACAAAAGGACCTTTAGTGCAATGCGGCGCTACAAAATGAACTAAAGTGTAATTTCAACCATTAAACGATGTCATCTGCCCTCTGCAGACAAAACAGAGTCCAAACAGGTCTGAAAATTTAAGTTTCCACACAAGAATCTGATCACAGCTTCAAATTCATCTAAATACTGAATACGTAATTTGATGCATCAGAATTTTTTTTATTTTAATGTTAGAATTAGTATCAGAAATATAACTTTTAATTAACTAAAAACAAAGATTTCTTTTAGACAACTGTCAAACCTGCTTTTAACAAAGATGGGAAAAAAGTTGATGTTTTGTTGTTTTATTAAAGATCAACATTCGTAATAACAGAACATAAAATGAGAACCTTTACACTCACATTCAGCTTAACATTCGTGGCTAAATAATAAATGTTTTGTGGGCATAAAGTTTATAAAGATTAATTTTTTTTTAATTTACAGGTAGTTTTTCTGAACAGGATGTTTCTTAAGAAGAAACCCCAAACCTTCTCAAACAGAACAAAAATATTTCGTCATCCTGACTATCAGTTTATATGATGTCAAAACAACAAATATGCAAAAAGCTAAAGTGTCTTTAGTCTCAGTTTTAACTTTCCTTAAAGAAAGCTGTTATTTACTGACAAACATTTTACATTCAACAACATTAAATTCTTTTCCCATCAGTTTACTTGAGAACAGAGAATAAAACAGTAAAAATGTTGCAGCCGTTGATCCGTCAGGATGTTTTCGAGCAGAACCTATCCTCGGCTCAGCTGTACCGACTACTGCGGCTGTGACTCCGGCGCCGAGAGGAGCTGCGGCTGGACGAGCGGTACGACCTGATCCAGGTCACAGAGAGAAAAGGGTGGTCAGAGTTTAAAACAAACCGACAGGAAGGTGGGCAGTGGTGGGCACAGATAACCAAAACGTTAGGTTCACTAACCCCTGATCCGCTAAACAAGAATCTCAGCTCTGCTAACGCTAAACTGCTAAAAATAAAAAGATTAACCTAAGCTAACGCTAACCGCTAAAGCAGCTGTCAGTCCATGTCGCATGTTTTCATCATTAATTTGAAGGTGGATCATCTGTGGCAAATCAGCCAATCCAAACCAGAGTTACAGCTCTGTCCAACTTGTGATACTTCCAGTTTAACCCTTTCAGAAGAAAAGCATTTCTGTGATCAAGTTTGTATTGTTATAGTTTGGAGTTAGTCAAACACATATTAAATACTTTCTCAGTTGTATTTTATATGTTGTCAATTTTTGTATTTGTTATTTAAATATTGTTGAATGTATGTGTATTTCTGTTCAACGCTCTTAGTTTGAAATTTAGCTTAAAGACGCTACACGCAGTGCCTGACTCATCCAGCACTGCTTGTAAGAAGGGATGCGTGTTATTTAATTCAAGATAAATGGCATAAAAATAGGAGTCTTACACTTGTGAGTTTTTTTAGTGGACTTAAAATTAGCTGAACCTAATTTAGTGGAAGCTATGTGGTCCAGTTTCCAAGGTTAGCAAAAAAAAAGCTAATCCGCTAAATGAGAAGCTATTAGCAGATCAGTGGAACTGTGCCCACCACTACAGGTCATCTTTCAGAAACTCACCGGGATCGACGCTCTGAGCTCCTGTAGCTGTCGCTCCGTCGGTGCCCTCGCCTTCTACTTGCGCTATGACTGGAGTAGCTGTCGTACGAGTCGGACCTGCAGAGAGATTACTAGATATTTGAGACATGACACGTAATTAAAACTCTACAAACAAGGACAAATATAAATGATGGTGCAGATATTATTCGTCTTGTTCCTGAGTGACGCCATGATGGAACGACGGATAGGGATTTTGTCCTCAGTCATGAGAGTTAAAGAGAGCAAGAGAGCATGTCGGTAATGGTGAAAAAAAGAGGGCGTTGCTTTGGTCTGGAGTGTTGAAGAAAGAGGGCGTGGCTTATGTCAGTCATGGTGAAGAATAAGGGTGTGGCTTTGGTTTGGAGTGTTGAAGAAAGGGTGTGGCTTTGGTCTAGAGTGGTGAATAAAGAGGGTGTGGCTTATGTTGATCATGTGAAGAAAGAGGGTGTGCTTTGGACAAGCCATGGTGAGGAAAGAGGGCGTGGCTTCAAACAGCCATGGTGAGGAAAGAGGGCGTGGCTTCAAACAGCCATGGTGAGGAAAGAGGGCGTGGCTTCAAACAGCCATGGTGAGGAAAGAGGGTGTGGCTTCAAACAGCCACAGTGACGAAATAGGGCATGAATACACATTTAGTAAACCTTCATGTAAACAGAATATGTATATTTTAATTGAGTGAAAATCTTGACAAACCTCGACCTTCGATGGCGATTATAGGAGCGGCTTCTTGAAGGACTTCGACTGTAAGTTCGACTGACAGGAAGACAAATAGAAAAAAGACCTTTATACGAGATTTGAGGAAGTCCTGATTAATTATAAAGATGTTTTATGAAGTCGTAAAGGAATGAGCCCAAAACTCAAAGACAAAGAATAAGAAGCTTCAGGGAACATGCCACTATTTTAATTCGCCGACTCTCGCTCCTTGAATTGTTAGCGTACCTGTGACTCCTGTAGCTGCGATACGTGCTGCTGTGAGAACGAGAACGTCTCCTCCGATGTCTCCTTCGACTTCTGCTGCGGCTCCTTCAATCCAGACAAACAATAGAAGTGACTGAAACTAAAACTCTGTGTCACGAACATGCATTTAATTAATGCTCTGTGCTCTCCTTCTCCTACCTGGAGGAGTAGGTGTAGCTGCGGGATCGACTTCTGGACCTGCTGGAGGAGCGAGACCGCCCTCTGGAGTGCGACTCGTGACTGGAAACGGAGCAAGACTTCCTCGGCAGAGACTTGGACGTCTTCGGGGACACGGCCCTCGTCTTCCCCACTGAAGGAGACCTCTCCTCGCTGGAACTCTCCTGGTTCCTGGGCCTCTGGTTGAGCCGGGCGGTCTTGCGGACTTCATCGAACAGGGACCCCGGTCGGACCCGGCTCGTGCTCTTGATCTCCATTCGGACTAAATGCGGGTTGGGCGTCTGGCTCTGCTGAAGCTGGACGTTTTTCACGGCGGCGGGTGGAAGGCTTGCATTCTGCAGCGCCGCTGTTCCTTTCAGGGGCTTCCATTTGAAATTTATTGCAGGTCTGTTTGTTTCGACTTTCTGCCCGGTGGCGGCGGCGGCGGCTGTGGAGGAAACAGGAAGTTCTCTGCTCTGAAGTAAAGCACTGTCACTGCTGGCCGGTTCAGACGACTCTGAGGAAGATTTTAGGGCAACTTCAGAAGCATTTTTGTAAAGATCCCGTGTGAAAGGAGTTTCGATGATGTCCACGTCGTGCTCTGGGGTACAGATGTCCATGTCCTCCAGCGTCTCCTGCTCTTTGACCTTCTGTAAGTGAGCGCCGCCGTTTGCACCGCTGGACGAATGCTCCGAGTGTTTGGCATTTTTGTCGCTGCTTTCTTTTAATCTCTGCTGACTTCTGTCTTCGACTTTGGGAGGATTTTCCTTTGCGGTCACCTCTTTGCCGGAATCATCTTTAACGGCTCCAGCAGGGCTGCGTCTGTCCCTTTTAGCTTCATCCTCCTCCTCCTCCTCAAACTCCAGCGGAGGCTGCCAGTGGAACGTCTCCCTCAGCTTCTGGTGTTTCCTCTTGGATTTCTTGGCCTTGTCCTTGCTGGGATGAGAACTGGACTTGTTTTCGCTCCTCCTCTTGTGTTTGTGCTTCCGTTTGGCTTTCTTCTTGCTCTTGTGCTTCTCTGGCTCTACGACCTTCTCGGGACTTTGGTCGGACTGACCTGAAACCGAGGAGGAGGAGTCGGCGGCAGCGGCTGCTATCTTATACGCTAAAGATGCCTCGGGGGTTTTCTTTAAAGTCTCGTAATCCGATTCAGAAGTGGCCTCTCCTTCCTCTTTCTCAGATATGGCCGCCGTCCTGGTCGTTAGGTTCTCAGAGTCGCTGTCTGAGTTCCAGCCGGTAGACGCGGACATCTTTTTGACCGGAACTTCTCCAGACTGAACATCTTGCTTCTGCATTTTTGCCGAGGCGGCGCCGTCGCTTCGGCTCACCCGCTCGCCGTCACTGTCGCATTCGGACCAGCTGTTGAGTCTCTCCGCCCGCAGCGAGTTGGAGTGATTGGTCCCGGGTTCCTGCGAGTCGCCCCTTTCTTCTATCGTCTCCAAAGAGGCGACGGCGTCGGGACTCCTCTCACTGCCGGTTCCCTTCTCCAGAGCCGAGAAGCCGTCTCCACTGTTACTGAGAGAAATGTACTTGTCTAAATTCTGTACCCTCTTCAGACAGCTGTAGTACTCCTTCCACTCCTTCTCCAATGAGTTCTTCTTGTTGCTACTCGTCTTCTGCTCGTTTTCAGAGTCCGACTTGTTGTGGGACAATGACCTGCTGTTGTACCTGTGAGAGGACCTGGACCTGGACCTGGACCTACTGGAGCTCCTGCTCCTGGATGGGCTGTGAGAGTGGCTGTAGGACCTGCTTCTGGACGACCTGCTGCGGGAACGGCGTGCAGGTTTGTGGTCCTGAGAGTCCTCTGGTTTCATGTTGATCAGAGGTGTTTCTGTGGTTATTTCCACTGCCGGTGCGACAGCAGAGGGTTTACTGGGTGCTACTTTGGCTTTGATTTCTTGGATGTGAATGTAGGAGGGCTTCCAGGGTTTTTGTCCCGGTTTCCAGCGGGAGGGGGGCGGACTGTCGCTCAGCGGGATGACAGGAACCCTTTCAGGTACCGGGACTGCTGGCAGTTTGGAGACCAGCGTGATTTTGGTCTCTGGGAGCTTCTCGGTCACGTTCATCACCACGTCTGGTTTGGGTTTGATGGTTTTTCTTTTTTTTGGAGACCTGGTAAGACTCCTTTTTCTAGACTCGGACCTAGAAGTCGATCTGGATCTAGATCTGGACCTTGATCTGGACTTAGACCTGGATCTGTTCCTAGATCTTGATCGGGATTGAGAGAAGGATGGAGATTTGGATCTGGACAAAGATCGACTTCTCGACCTGGAGAGGCTCCTGGACCTGGACCTGGAGTAGGACCTGTATCGTCCTCGAGACCTGGATCGGCTGGTTGTGTAGGACCTGGAGTTGGACTTTGAGAAAGACGGCGAGGACCGTTGTCTCTTCCTGGTGGACGAATGTCGCGGACTAGAAGGAGAAGGAGTCAGTGAGTGGGATCTTCTTGACTTCCTGTCTGAAGACGCCGACCTTTCATCTTCTGACTTGTACGGCTCCTGAGGTTTGCTCTTCTTAACGCTCTTCTTCTTGCCGTGTTTGCGTTTCTTGCTCTTCTTCTTGTGCTTGGCCTTCTTCTTCTCCTTTTTGGCCTGGCGCTGCAGGCTGGACCTCTCTGAGCTGCGGTCGGAGGAGCATTCTCCTGACTGGGACCAAGCCGAGTTGCTCCCGTCGTCCCATCTGCTCGAGGAGTGGTCGTTCAGTCTGTCGAGTCCAAACAAGCGTGACGGAAATGAAAATAAAAACTGATATTAAAAGTGTAGAACTAAAATATGGGCTAAATCTTGTGCCAGCAGGAATTGAATTTGAATTGCTTAAATTGAATCTGAATGTGCATAATTTGAAATTGAATGCATTGGTTTGAAAATAAATTTCACCAAATTGAAACTGAATTTAATGTTTTGAAACTGAATTTCAAAGCATGGATCAGTCAGCAGCAGCATCTGATCAATATGTGATCCATGATGTAAATGTAACATTTTCTACATATAGGTAAAATTTATCACTGCCATAAAATAACTTTGTCTGTTTTCGTCACTTACGGTGGATTGCATCAACTCTGTTACATTACAGAAGGCTTCACCAAAGTGAAATGTAAATCTGTGGATCTGTGTTTGATTACTCTGGCTGGCTTTTAAGGACCAGGATGTGACACAAAAATCTGAATTATGGAACTGAAAGTGAAAATAGTCAAACTGAATTTTTAATAAACCAAAATACAGTTTCAAAGCAAATTAATTCAGATACAAAACTTTAAATTCAGTTTCAACTTATTAAAATTTATTTTCAAACCAATGCATTCAATCTAAAATTACACACATTCAGATTCAATCTGAGCAATTCAAATTCACTTCCTGCTGGCACAAAATATTTCCCATATTTAAACTCCTACTTGTCTCCTTTGCTCCACCTCTCCACACTGGGAGGATGATAATTTTTGGTCCTCTTCATCTCTTCCTTCCAGTGAGGCGGTGTTTCGCTGCTTCCACGCTCCTCGACAGATGCAGAACGGGACTTGGACCTCGTAGGAGTGTGATATCTCTGATAATTAAAAAAAAAAAAAGAAATCTCTCAATTTTGCACTTTTTGCCAAAAAAAAAAAATCTCGATTTTATTTGATGAGCGAGCGTACGATCGTTCCTCTGCCTCGGATTTTGCGTCCAGACTTGGACACAGCTGGTTTCTGGTCAGCTGACAGGATCGTTTCTTCTTTTTCTAGACTAAAAATATAAGAACGAGTTGAAAGATCAGGTCGAATTTCACCAACTAATTATGGTAATTAAAAGTGTTTGGTGTGTACAGTACGTGATTTTATCTTTGATTACGGACACTTCTGCTTTAACTTCCTGGGCGGGAATGACGTCCCGTCGCAGCAGGAAGCGGTTCTCCGGCACGGGCGGGATTTCCTCCGGCCGGACAACGGGCTTCCCCCTCTTCCCACCTGGCTCCTTCTCTTCTTCATTCTGTCCAGTCTCTTTCTCTGCAGGTAGACTGGAACGACACGTTGAGATTGGTGATTTTTTACAAGATAAACTGTAAAACGTCAAGAAAAATTAAACGTATACTTCTGCTTAGAAGGAAGAACAGTCATCTTCTTCTTCCCCACTTTCCGTTTCTTTTTGGTCTGTTTAACTTTTGCACGTTTTTTGTTCTTGTGTTGTTTGAGACTTTGTTCCGGTTCGACTTCGGACTCGGCCGACGAGCGGGAGGACGTGTCGTTTGAGTTCAGGGAGGCTCGTTTCCTCTTGCCTTCGAGCACTGAAAGCAAAATAACAAMACAACTGACGTAAACGAGACAAAAACATAGCAACTTACAGAGATTGAGTGAAACTGGATCGTTCAAAATGTCAAGAGGGGCAAGGCGGGCCGACAAAGATGGCCTCGTTAATCCCCATCAAGGAGAAGCTCACGTTACACGACCTGAATCAAAGCGAGCGCCCAAACTGTCACCTCTGACACAATTATCCAACTCTCACACACTGAAGACTGCAGGTCTACTAAAGGGGAGTCAGATCTGTGTTTTCTCTTAGAAAAGTAAGATAATTACAAGTYGTCTGATGTTATAAGATGTGGAACGTGAATAAAAACATCTTCAGAGAAGGTTACACAATGAGGCAACAGATGGGCAGACAAAGAAAAACAGGCCCACCCTGGACCTACCATCATTGGCGGACTTGGTGATCAGTTGCCCACAGTCCACCACTCTGACGTCAGCGTAGGGTCTGCTCGCCGAGTCCGTCTTCAGCCCCTCGATCTTCTTTATCACCTCAAAACCAGAGATGACGTGGCCGAAGACGACGTCGACGCTGCGCAGAAGAACAGATTAACCGACCGACTGATGTTTGTACGTTTTCAAGGTAAAAATGCTGATGGTCTGACTGAGCCTTTAGACTGGGACACTATTTATTGTTTATGGTGACAGATATGAAGTAAAAATCTTAAAAGAGACAAATTCTGCTGATTTCTTTAACAAGTCTGCTCAATTTTCTGACATATTCCAATTAAATTACAACAGAATTACAGAACAAAAGTGTCTTAGACTACATGTTCAGGATGCTGGTCATCATGCTCAGTTCAGATTTTTCTGCATAGTCGTYCATATTTTATTTTAAATTCAACCTCCATCAGAGTCCAGCATGAACTCTCCACTGATGCGACTCGTATGCTCAGGAAATGAAGTGACGTCACATTCAGCTGGCTGTTTACAGAAGCAGCTAAACGCTGACGCTACATGTTAGCGTGTCGACTCTGAATGCTCCGATGCAGCTTGTAGTTATGGAAAAAGAGCAACGRGCTGGAAGTAATTTATCGATCCAGTAACATCAGTATCGATACGGTCCGAGAAAGACAGTACGATCAGATGGTTCTGTGGGTTATCAGTCCTCCAGGACATGGAAAATGAAAAGAAAGAAACAAAGCAACTGGACTTTTCTGTAGCTGAAGACGTGTGGAGCTACAAGATTTAAACTACAAGGTTAGTGTCTTTATTATTACTTGGATCGATTACATCACTGAGGTTGGGGTATACGGATCGACCCAGAAACTGATTCCAGATCGGTCAGATTTCSTTTCCTTTTCCATGTCCTGGATGACTGAGGATCCACAGAAACGTCTGATCGTACGGTCTGTCTCAGACCATATCGATACTAAAGTTAMTGGATCGATACTTTACTTTTTTTAACTTTCTAGTTTTGTTCTGGATGACGGAGGATTTCCAACATGTGATGCTAATGGTGGTTTACCAACACATCGATACTAGCAAATAAGGGTGTAACCATACATTGATCCACATCGATCGAATTAATAATGATTCAATTACCAGGCAAAAAGAAAACAACGATCCATATCGTCATCATAAGCCTGATGTGGATTGATATTGTATATTGATCGCATGCTTGTGGATTGAATTTAATCACTTTGTGATATTGAGATACATTGTGTCGTCAACCAAACAAATCAATAATGTATTATATTTCCACCCCTACTAGCAAGATGGGATCAAAACTTTTGTTTCTTTTTAAGTTCAGACGTCGCTCTCGCTCCAGAAGTGCAATTCTGCATCTGAGTAGTCGAAAAATGTTGGACTAAACAATCAGAGCAGATATTAATCGTCCCGATTGCACAACGATTCAGTCAATCCACTCATGTCAACATGTGTAGCATCTATATTTGCTTCTGTAAACACAGCGAGCAGACGCTGCCTGCACATGAGTCACTTCAGAGCCGTGGAGAGCTCACATTTAAATTATAACGAGAGCGACCACACAAAAACATTCAACCTGAGTAAAAAATCATAGTAACTGATAAACGTCTTACCCATCAAGATGAGGTGCCATCTTTGTCGTGCTGTTTACAAAACATCCAGTAAACCAAACCAGGAATCAACCAGTGACAGAGGAGGAGTCATGAAAAATAAAAAAATTTGAAAATTATTACAAAAAAACGAACAAAGACAGCACAAGGATGCTACGGATTTTTAGATAAATCTTTAATAAAGCAACAAAACAAACCAACCTTGATTTATTTCAGATTCGATTTTAAATCTAACCTTTTACATTTTAGAAATACTACAAATTACATCACCAGATTGTGTTTTGATGTGATCTTATCAACCCTTATAAAGAACAGAAGTTCATCTACAAAATGTATTCTTCATAGTTTAGGTCCTCATCAATAAAAAATCATGGTGATATTTTTGACTTCAGCCATTTGTGAAACTGTCAGACATTTCAAACAAAAGGAAACACTTTACTGTGCAGAATGTAAATATAAAGAACTACATGAGAAATACAGTCAGGAGAGAGAAACACAGCCTTGGAGACACATTACCTTGAAGGAGCAGGACGCTAGAGTTTCTGCAAATTTTACACAAAAACGGCAAGAGAAAAAATGTAACACATTTGTGGGTAAAAAAAAGAAAGAATCCAACGTTTCTCTGTTCTTTGAAAGCTAACTGCAGAGAGAGAGAGAGAGAGAGAGAGAGAGAGAGAGAGAGGGATAGAGAGATAGAGATAGAGAGATAGAAAGATAAGAGATAGAGAGAGAGAATGAGAGAGAGAGAGAGAGATAGAGGGATAGAGATAGATAGAGAGAGATAGATAAAGATAGAGATAGAGAATGAGAGAGATAGAGAGAAAGAGATAGAGAGATAGAGAGATGAGATAGAGAGAGATAGAGAGAGATAGAGATAGAGAGAGATAGAGATAGAGAGAGAGAGATAGATAGAGATAGAGAGAGAGACAGAGATAGAGAGAATGAGATAGAGAGAGAGATAGAGGGATAGAGCGATATAGATAGATAAAGATAGAGATAGAGAATGAGAGAGATAGAGAGAAAGAAATAGAGAGATAGAGATAGAGAGAGATAGAGAGATAGACAGAGAGAGATAGATAGAGAGAGAGAGATAGAGAGACAGAGATAGAGATAGAGAGAATGAGATAGAGCGAGAGAATATGAGAGAGAGAGAGATAGAGATAGAGGGATAGAGATAGAGATATAGAGAACGAGAGAGAGATAGAGATAGAGAGAGAGAGAGTATGAGAGAGAGGAGAATTGAGAAGATGGACTCTGCAGGTTCACTACAGAGGAGGAAAAGCTAAAAGCCAAACAGTAAGAAAACCAGGACAAGGTGTTTAATCAGAGCCCTGGTCACTCACATAAAAAACTGAGAACCGTTGGTGTTCTTCCCTCGGTTGGCCATGGACAACAGGAAGGGTCTGTTGTGTTTGAGAATAAAATTCTCATCTGTCAGAAACAAAATAAAAAATAAAAGTCAAATTTTAAGAGTGTGCTCCTTCATTAGAACTGATTGTACTCTCAACCTAAAGGTTCCATAAAACCTGCTGGTTTAATATGGAAACATCGTCCTCCAGGTCCTTTTCTGTGGTTTAAGGTGTTTAAAACTAATCTTTATTAAATAATATTCACTCAGTTCATCAGATCTGGTGCCTAGAGTTGCACAATTCCATCTAATAAAAGTAATAAAAGTTAATTGGAAAAGAAAGGCAGATTGATTGAAAAAAAGACAAACTTCATATTTCTTGAATGTTCAGTCATCAGGGATCTTTCAGAAAAAAACTAAACTGAACACTTTTAAACTGTACCCATATGACCCCTAATTTACACTACATGCGTTCTGGCTCCGCTCCGCTGCGGTGCGAAGGTYGCAGCTGTTCGTTTGTCCCCCAATTTATACAGCCTCCGCTCTGACACACAGAGGAGGGAGCGTGTGCAGGAAGGAGATTGCGCGATAAATCCAGTGATAAAAGTTGAAGTCAGAGCAAAAAATAAATAATTCTGTGAAAAACAAACTCCAAACACAGCTGAAAACATTGATATAAAGGCTTTTGATATCTATGTTGAAACTGTCTCGCTGTCGTCTTTTTGAAACTTTTGATTTCAAAATAAATTCCACGTGTATCGTGTGTGTACACATATGCTTCATGCTACATTTCCATCTGCTTCCCAAACAGAACGATACATTCTGACAGCATTTATGTAGAAATATATCCGTATATTTATTGATATAGCTGCAATTTCGACATTATTCCGACAAATATTCCACCTAAAAGTATCTTATTTTGTAAATACGGATGTTGTGCTCGTTCCTCTTCCTGTTGGTGCGACGTAATCTTTAAAAATTGACTCCAGCGCAGCTCCGGCGTCCGGCAAAAATAGGATCTGTTCTAATTTTGCCGGATCGCCGTGTGGAGCCAGTGTAAACACTCTCATTGATTATAATGGATGCGTATTTGCTGTGGAGGTCGGACCGGAGCGGAGCGGAGCTGGAACGCATGTAGTGTAAATTAGGGGTTATCCTCATCGGCCCAATCCTGGTCCTCGAGGGCCGGCCTCCTGCATGTTTCAGTTCAGCATGTCTTTGAGCTCTGAAGAAGCCTGTTAATCAAACAAAATAAAATATAAAACCATGCAGATTAGTGATCCTCAAGGACCAGGACTGAGCACCACAACTATATCCATCCATGCAGACACCTCCCAGTGAGCCCAGGATCCGATCCTAACCAAAGCAGGCAGGACTGACAAACTTTTCTCTGAAAGACTTTTAAAAACTGGAGACCTGCTGCTTCGGAAAGATGTCACTGAAGCTACAGAGCAAAACAGGTGTTTTATTAACAGCAGTCACTGGAAAACATGTGGAGCTGTCACATGTAACAGGAGAAAGTGTGGAGGAGTGTTTCACCTCTGTAAAAAACTCAGTTCAGTTTGGACAGGTGGGACTTCAGTGCAGGAAACAGAACTTCATGCAGAAAATAGTTAAAGTTAAGAAATAACAGTCTCCTGTAATTCAATACATCTGTTCAATCTGGACCACCAGAAACCGCTGCAGTCAGCTCCTCTGAACCAGGGGGGTCCAATCCTGGTCCTGGAGGTCCATTATCCTGCATGCTCTACTTGTTTCTCTGCTCTAACTCGCCTGATTCAGTGACTGAGTTACCTCTTCAGGTTCTGCTGGTTCGTCACACATTCATCGTCAGGTGAGYTGGAGCAGAGAAACCAGTAAAACCTGCAGGATAATGACCTCCAGGACCAGAGCTGAACACCACTGCTCTAAACAATCATCAGAAAAAACCTCAGGAGTCTATAAAAAATAAACATTTATTTTAAACCAGTTCTGACTTTCTAACATCTTCAACAAATTTGACACAAGTAAAAGTTGTAAAAATACTGATGGATGATATAAATATGTATATAAATGGTGATAGCATTTGCAGCGAGAGTTTTAAACACAAAAATGTGAAATTCTTCAGACATTTCTTTCTTTGAAAGGACATTATCAGTACAGAACTGTTATTTTTCTGATTTCAGGGRCATTTAGACTCTGAACAGTGAGGCTTTCAGAACATGAGCTGCCTTGTTGTAGCGACAGGTGGTGGGAACGATGTTGGCAAGGTGTTACTGAGCTGTGTACTCTTACCTGCTCATTTTGCAAAAGACCACTCTACAAATAAGAGAATATGTTGAAAGTTTTAGCTTTCGGTTAGGAGARAGGCTCTTTCCCATGCTGATTTAATAAAGTAAACAGGTAAACTATGTCACATACACACAAACACTAAATAAATTCACCAGATATTGATTTAAATACAAACACATGCAGCATTACGCTTGTATTACTTATACACATTTATAACTTTTATTTAAGCTGCCTATTAAATAAATCAACGGTTCAAATACCTTCAAAGTAGCCGCCATAAATGGATTCTCCTCCTCTTCCATTTCCTGCAAACGTTACCAAATTAAAACCATAACTTTTTTATTTTTAGATGAAATCATAATTATCTTTAAAACCTTCACAACAAAGAAAAGTGACGTCTCATTAAAATGTAGGACAATTTTTATTCTGGTGTATTTTAAATGTTTTTTAGGATTTGTATATTATATTTTATTTTACGTTTTATTGTTTTTAAACTTTATATTGTTAAAAGCCCTTCTGAGGACGAGCATTGCCAACTAGCTAAGGCTATAAATGTTAGTGTTCTGTATCATGCAAATAACTAATAAATGAAAAGAATCATACTTTGACGACATTAACAGCTTAAATCCTTTTTTTTTCTCACTTTTGATTTTAACGTCTGAATGCTGTAAAACGTGTTAAACTGAAGGCCCGCGGGCCAAATCTGTCACCCATTTACATTTTATCTGGTCCCAATGCTTTTAAAGTGAAATAGTTTTCTGGTTTCTCTTTTTGTCCTTGGATTTTTGTGAATTCTTCTCATGAAAGCTGGACAACATTAAATTACGAATGTTTTAATTTTATGTAATCTCTGAGTTTGGTGTGAAAAGAGGAACGACTTTATCTTTTTCTGTATTTTCTTATTATTTTAAAGTCAAATAATTAGATGTTTAATGAGTGTATTCTGTTTTTAAACTCTTTTGCTGGATTGTGATAAAATGTATCTCTAAGAAATAAACAGTAAAGCATAAAAAATAAGTTTTAAAGATCAATCTTTCTAGATATCTTTTTTCTTTATCCATTAGGTTATACACGCTCTAAATGCTGCATAAAACATAATTTGAAAAAGGTAATTTAGAATAGAATGATTCTTTTGTATTATTTCTGTAAATATTGACAAAAATGAACAAAATGTCTTGAACTAAGTTTTTAATTTTAGCTCTCTTGTATAACTGAGTTTGACTCCGCTGATGTAAAACCTTTTTTAAACCAAGCAGAGACCTAGGAGTTAATAAGGCAACATTCAGTCCTGCACATTTCTAAAAGTAAATAAGTTTGAAGTGTTTTTACCTTCTGTGAAGTCGCCTCCTTGTATCATGAAGTTTTTCACAACTCTGTGAAAAGTGGAGCCTTTGTAGCACAGCTTTTTCCCTGTGATTTTCCCTGTTCCCTTTTCACCTGCAATCACATGAAAAACAACAGAAACAGTTGGTTCTGTGTTTACATGATGCCTTTGGGTTTTTACAGAAACACTCCTCTGTTACAGAGCTAATCCAAAACCAGAGAGAAAATTATTTTTACCCCTTTGGTCGGACATTTAGGCTCTTCACAAAACTGTCTTTATGCATCCTCTGGCTGTTCATAAACTTTTTCATTTCATCAGGTTAAAACAGTAAGTTATGCAGTCTGCATATTGTGCTTACTTTGCAGCTCATAAAGGACAGACTGACAGAGTGCATCGTGGATTCTCAGGTTTGTTTTCACCGTTCACTGGAGGACATAAACCACACACTGTGGTTCATGTCTGTGTTTCAGGTGTTCGTAGGGTTGTGGTTAGCGTTAGCTCCTCCACTCCATCTTTTGACGTTGGGCTTAACGCACGCTTGATAGTAAGAGCGCGTCGCACAGAAAAATGCGTCATAATGTGGCAGTAATTGCAAAGTGGTAAATATTAATTAGTAGGGCTGTGTATTGGCAAGAATTTGGCGATACGATACATATAACAGAGGGGTCACGATACGATATATACCGATATATTGCGATACTGTAAGCAAGCCGATATTTTGCGATTTTATTTTGTCCAAAAATTCTATTAAATGAAAACCTCTTACAGGGGAAAAAAATGAAAAACCAAAATTCATTCTCAGAAAATTCTAATATTACATAGACATACTTTTGATACATTTAGCTGTGTTCTGCTTTGTATGTGTTTTATTTTATTTGTTTCATGTTTCTTATTTCATCCATGTTTTCAATTATTAGACTAAATTTGACAATAAATAGTTTGAAAATATATTTTTTGCAGCTTTTAGGTTTTAATATTAATTTACAATATGGTCACCCAACACTAAAAAATAGCCTCTACCTCAAGAGGTAGAGGAGCCAAATGGCTGGCTCACTGCTGCCAACTAGTGGCCAGAGGCTGAACTACAACATAAAAATGAACGGCTGGCAGGAAAGTTGACATTTTACACCTTTAATAAAAAATCGATACAGGGCTTTAGAATATCGATACAGTGTCGGGAAATGAAATATCGCGATATTTCAGTGAATCGATATTTTCTTACACCCCTATTAATTAGTGACAGTTCTTCTGATGAATTGCTGCACACRATGCGATTTTGCCCAACCCTAACTCCCGTGACCCGTTGGTGACACAGACCAGAGTCGTCACTTCATCACATCAGGGAGCAGTGGCACCAGCTTGTCGACTGTTTCACTCTTTCTACCTCGCTCCGTGGGACAAATTTGCATCAGGTTTTTTTTWATATTTTTTTTAGAAATCCCACCATCGAGGCGGTCGGTAATGTCGTGTGAAAGAGCCCCACAGTTAACGGTGCTTTGCTGAATTAATCATTATAACTTCTGCTGCACTGGGGACAGAATATTAACAAATAAACCATGGCTTTCTGGATTCTACTTCTCTTCGGGTTGCTTTCAGACAAAATAACTCTACTTGTCCTAATGAGAAGCTTAAGTTACTAATCTCTTCCTTCACTGACCTCAGGTTTGATTACATCTTGCTGTAAGATTATCCCGTTCTAAAATAACACATTAAAGAGCGTGGGAACAGCACAACAAAACTGCTCCAGGTAAATGGTGTGTGTTGGTGTGTATTAAAGCTCCATTTGATGGCGTTTGTGTATTTGCACTTTTGAACTTAACAACTGAGCCAACTATTAGCTCAGTCAGCAACACGTGATCCAGAGGAGAAAGGGTGGGAAAATGACGGAGCATCAATCTGCTGCCTGTTTTCCAGCGACACCACWGTCAGCTGCTCCAATTCGTAATGAATACCTGAAATTTCCCATCTTTATTTATCACAGTGTCATAAATAACTGCAGCTTATTTATTAGTACACATTCAGAGAGTTTTTACTTCTTCCAATAATAAAAGGCGATAGGTGTTCAGTAYGGGTACAACGATACAGAAAATTCACGATTCGTTTGGATACTTTAGTCTCGCGGTTCAATATTTTTTTGATACAAAAAAGAGAAATGTCCAATCCCTTTTTAACTTCAATTTATTGAAATTAATTACGAACATTTGTTTAACCTCAAAAGTACAGTTTTTAAATTAAATGTTGCTGAAACADCAAGTTTCTCAGTGGATCTGCGCTCGAAAATGCAGCCTAGGTGGAGCAGTCGAACACAGATCCACTGATCCTTCAACACAGAGCATCTTCAGAAGACAAGTTGATAAAATACATTTCGATTCTAACTGTTTGGATACAAAACAGGTAATGTGGAAGTAAATATTACTTACCAGTACACAAACAGAGAAAGTTTTTGCTTGTCCTGGGACATATATCTGAGAAAAGCTGGAAGACGATGCGCCCAACTACAAAAAAAAAAATTAATAATAAAACTAAATTCACTTCAGTTTCTCATAAATTGATTTTTCCCCCAATATTACTTTTTAAATAAATAAAGAAGATAAATTATAATATTACACTGAGAGAACTACAGCAATTTAGTACAGATTTTGCTGAAACCAAACCAGTCTATCAAGCCAAAGTACTACCGGGTGTTCCACTTTCATTTTGTAGCATAAAAGCTCAGAGGACACACAAAAACAAAAACACATGGATTAAAACTTCTTTTTAAAGAATGTTAGTTGAAAGTCCTGCTGACTACATGACTTTAATAATCATCCTACCTTTAAACACGACAGAGAACGCTCTTACCTGGCTCCCGGTTGAGCTCCACATCAAAGTAACACTGAGGGCGGTCTTTTACCCCCATCCTGATCAAAGTCCASCTGACCTAAAATATAGACAAGAGTACAAAACAAGAATGCTAAGAAACTAAAAATCACAGTAAATGGACTTAACGAGCACTCGTTTTATGACAGTTTAACACCTAAACGATTCAAGGTGTTGAGAAGACGAGAGGAGGAGGAAACAAAGGGTGTAAAAGATCGGGGGGAGGGGAAAAGAGAGAAGACTGTGAGGTAATGTTTGAACACAAAGTTTTTTTTAATATCCAGAGACTTGTCTAACAAGAGGAATATAAAAGCTTCAGGTAGTGTTGACCCATTTTTGTACTAATCTGAGTAATGGGCCTCATGCAAGAACCGTTCGTACGCACAGATTTGTTCTTAA